ATGTGCCTACTTATATGCAGAGGACAAGAAGGCCCTTGAGACCATGTCAGTACTTGCAGTGCTCTGGGTGGACATACTAGAATAATCCCAGAAGCAGTATTGAGCTGAATAGCTCTAATCCTCCTGTTCCTTTCAGTGAAAAATGGAAGGTGGAATAAACCTACTTTCCCCATCCTGCCTGTATGTGGCATTCATCTCAGTGACAAGAAAGTTACTTCCAGGAAGTTTGTTTTGTTTGCATTGATGGGGAGAAACAAACGAAATTAATCTAGTCCTCGTGTATAAGTAGAACCAAGTGTTGCCCAGTTCATCTGACAGCTCTTTCCTGGGCACTGGAGCCCAGTGCAAGCGTCTTCTGCTTGGAAGCAGCACTGCAGGACTCAACTGAAGAGCCACCCTTTCTTCTTTGCTTTTTCCCTGGTGGTGGAGAGGCAGTTACTTTGCATTTGATTCAGACCACAAACAGCTTTATTTTCACTTGTGACAGCTGTTCAGTGAGAGTGAAGCAGCCAGTTCCTCCTTCCTGCTTGCAGTCCAGAACAGATACGGTCTCTGCTGGTGCCCTAAAGAGTTCAGTATCAGAGGATACAGTAGAACAGACACCTCAGCAGTCCTTGGCCTGTCTGCTGATGTACCCTTTGAAGATCAATTTAATGCTAATTCTTTTTGTGTGAGGAAGAAGGGGGTGTTTACAGGAATTGCAGTCATCCATTTTACTTGAGTTGGACCTGAATACGTAAAGCTGGGAGTTGTTCAGAGGTCTTCTGACAGCCTTCTAGCATGCATCTTCACCTCCCCATGCTAGGATCCCATCTCTGTGCTTCTGGATGCCTACTCCCTTTTCCCACGTACTGCATCCATAAACTGAGATCTGCCACCTTTCCTTCATCTGCATGTCAGACCTTTTTTCACTCTCCCTGGTCCCTCTGCTCCCTGTATCACCTCTGACCTGAACAGAAACCATCGTGCCAGCAGTGACTGGAGTAAGAACCGTACTTTAGGCAGACTGGAAAGACTGGAACTACTGCCTGTCAGCTGATTGCACTTTGCAGGCTCTGTGGAAGCATCTACCCCATAGCATGGGTAAGTGCTTTTGTGTCACAGCTCAGAGCTGTTGCTCCATGCCACTGTGAAGTATTTCAGGTTGGAGAGTTTGGGGACCTCTAAGCAGAGACCAGAGTCTTATGAACCTGTTTTCTTCTTGGGCCAGTGTTGGTCTGATACTCCCATGTCTAAGTATGAAAATATCACGGTTTGGAAGCACAAGGCAGTGTGTGCTGAAAAATATCACTCTCTCTGAGCAGTGTTATTTATCCACTTCCTTTGTCCAGTTCATTAATGACTAAGTAGTGGTTGAAATAACAGAAAAGATAAGTCCAAGGTTTTTTTAAGGCCATGTTTCAACATAAATCTCTTTTCTTAACATATCCTCTTTCCTTCCTCTGAGACATTTACTATCTTTTTGTGTTTAGAGCAAGAAGAAGGAATGCAGCATGTGTTGTCACTGCCCTTGAACTTCTTTGCAAAGCTGGCACTGCTTCCTCCTTGTTTTACTTCACTTCTTGTTTTGCCTCTCTATCTGCCTAATGCATCAGTTCACAGGAGGATCCCTTATAAAATGGAAACCTTTCCAGTGAGGCATTTCTTTCCACCCTGTAAAAAGTCTCTGCTGTAAATTTCCTCCAGGTTTATTAACTACTTTGCACCAAAGTCATAAATTTTAATAACTTCACAGAAGAGGATTTGCCCTCTTCAGATAGGGGCTGACACAGTATGGTACAGCACACTTTCTCCCATATAATAAAATAAATTACAGCAATTAGCTTGTTCTGCCACAAGCCTTACACATATAGCGTTTCTGTTCATTTTGAGACAAGCTTTAGACCTGGAAGGAATGCAGAGTTAGGAATTTCTATGGAATGATATCTCCACAGTGTAATAGCAGCAGTTTCCAGACATTTAACTGCTTAAATGCCTGGCTCAGGATGGCAACAGCAAGATGTTACTCCTTCTGTTACCTAATAGCAGAGACACATGATTTGAGGGAAGTTTGGGTATGAATTTTGTGGCTGGTTTATGCCAACACCAGCTACTTCTGGAATGTCTGGGCTCTTTGTAGTCAGAGGCCCGCAAGCAGGGGTGGGTGAATTGCTTCTTGGTGGTGTGGAGTGGTGGTTTACAGGGGTGCAGTTACATCAGCTGTGAGGAAAACACACCCCACACCCACAAGAACTCACACTTAGTTCTCTCGCTTGAATCAAGTGATTCCTATCCATTTCTAAGAGGTGGGAAAGGGGGACTATGTTGTCTGCAGTTTATTCCACGAGAGGACTGCAAAATTTTAAAGCCGCTCCACTGTCTTATATTCTCCATTATCCTGTTTGTACAGTAATAGTATTTCACTTTTGTGGTGTTAGCACAAACCCAAAAATTTGAGGAATGTAGTGAACTTAATTAAGTAAATCGCTTTGAGTCATTTTAAGGGAATGAAATACAGACCTTCTAGCCCCTTGCTTTAGCACTTGAGTGTGTTTCCTCCTCCAGCTGGCAAATTAAATCCAAAATGCAGATGATGAGTAATTATTCTTGTTAGTGCATCCACCTTCCCAATAGAGATGGGTTGCACTGTTCAACAGAAGAGCATTCCTGGTACTGAAACTTCCACTTAAGTGCTCCTCTGATAAGTTATTCAGGTGGAAGTGTGCTGCTTACAAAGATATTTATTTTAAGTAAAGAGAAGCAGCCATCCTTGCTGGATGGCACAACTGTAGCCTGTTTTTGAACTAGAACAGGTGTTCTGGAGATGCAAGTGTTGTGCACATCGGAGTGAACTCCCATGATGTGGGCAGCAGTTCAGGCAAGTACGGAGTCCAGGCTCTTTTCAAACTATTGTCTTGAACCAGGTGCTTCAACCATTTCTTTTGTAGACCTTTAATTTAAAGACCTAATCCAAATCCAGTTGATATTAGTTGAACCTTTTATTACTTGGTGCAGGGGGGAAAGTTTGAGGCCTTCAGCTAAATCCTGTAGTGCACTGCAATCACTCCAGGTCCCTCTCTCCAGCCTGCTGCTCTCCTCTGCCTAATGCAGTCTAATAAAGTGTCCTCATTGCTTGCAAGTTACCAGCAGTGATATAAATCATGATTATTACTGCATGTCAACACTTCTGGTCTTATTCTTTACTGGATGTTTTTCCAAAATGAAAGCTTTAGTGGATGAAGAAATTATGCTTCTGCTCTGAATAGTTGGGGGAGAGGGGGGAGTGAGTAACAAACCCCACAACCTTGTAAATGTAGAAGTAATGGAGAGTTTTAAACCTGAATCTTCCAGAAACTCTGTTGGGCTACAAGATGACTTTGTCATCTCAGTACAGTTTTGCTTCCAAAACCTAATACTTATAACTTAGGTTTCTACATTAACTGTTGCATTACTGATCATTTTGAAAGAAACGTAAGGCTGCTTTTTTGCAGAGAAAGTATCTAGTCTAACTTTCATTGTTTTAGTTGACATGGATTTCACAACTGTCCTGGGAAAGCAATTTTGTTTGCTACCCGAAAAATGACAGGAAGTTACCTGACTTTAAATCATAGAATCATAGAATTAACTGGGTTGGAAGAGACCTCTGAGATCATCAAGTGCAACCCTTGATCCAACCCCACTGTGATTACTAGATCATGGCACTCAGTGCCACATCCAGCCTCATCTTAAAAACCTCCAGGGATGGTGAATCCACCACCTCTCTGGGTAGGCCATTCCGATGCCTGATCACTCTCTCTGTAAAGAACCTCTTTCTAATATCCAACCTAAACCTCCCCTAGCAGAGCTTAAGACTGTGCCCTCTTGTCCTACTGCTGGTTGCCTGGGAGAAGAGACCAACCCCTACCTGGCTACAATCTCCTTTCAGGTAGTTGTGGAGAGTGATGAGGTCATCCCTGAGTCTCCTCCTCTCCAGTCTAAACAACCCCAGCTCCTTCAGCCTCTCCTCATAGGACTTGTGTTTAAGTCATAGGACTTTCTTACTCACTCTTGGCTTTTTAATAGTATGGACTGTCTGCCTCAAACAGTTCAATTTTCAACTTGAATGTGATCTTTTATACCCACATAACTAGGATTTTGTTTCTGAATTTCTTGGGTTTGTCTGACTTCTGCTATTCTTGAAGTGTCATTTGTACAAACAGGTCACCCATCTATCTGTTCATCTTACACAAAACTTGTGATAAGTAAAGATGAAGGTCTTAGGCACCCTACCTGCCTGCATATCTGTATGTGTGTATGTGTGAATCTCTGGCTGTGGTATGAGAAAGCTCAGGTGCAGTGGCATTTCATCAAGCTGCATCATGTGGCATTATTGGAAATGCTTCTTTATGTTGTCATTGCTGATTGCGGCAAAGTGCATTATCCTTTAGGGTTATATATATAAAATTCATATGATTTCAGAGACACCAGAATGGTAGTTACAGCCAAGGGGCTCCCTTCTTTGCAAATCTTAGAAAATGTGTAGGATGCCTGATGGCTGGCATGAATCAATATTCTGGTTTTTATGGCAGGGTATTCTGGCAGCACATTCTGCTCCTTAAGCTTCCCCTTTTGTTATGTCACTAGACGCTCTGACTCTGCTGGCCTGCTTCCCTCTCCTCTGTGCTCATAGAAAGCTGCTTTGCTTGGTGATAGAATATCTAAAGAGGAAAAGACAAGTGCATGGTGCACCTCCAGATATTTAGAAAATGTACTGGTCTCTCCAAGAAGGTAGGTACTACTTTGCAACATCTCTTGAATTCTTGGCACTTTGTCTAGGTATCAGAGGGCAAGATGGAGAACTCACACTGTAGTGTTATAAACAAACAAGAAAGGAAGAAAATTAATGCAGTAGTGCGATCTATAAAGTACCATTTGTGATTACCTAGGTTAGGGAATGATCTGAGATGACTGATTAGAGTTTCCATGCTGAACCCTTCTCTGTGGCACAGTCCTGATGCAGCTTCTTTCATATTTATCTTCAGGGGCTTCCATAAGTGGGAAGAGGGATTCTGGTTGTGTGACAGCAGCCCTTGGCAACACGTGGAGTCACAGTGTCAACACCAGGCTCATACTACAATATCATGACTTGCCAAAAAGACAGGTGAGAAACAATGAATAGAATTTAAATAAAGCTACACCAGCAGTGCTCGGTCAGATGGGCTGTATCCTTCAGCCTCTGTGGTTATTCTAGGTGCGTTGAGAAGTTGTCACTCTGGAGCCAATTGCTTATTTGGGGTGGGGGGCAGTCAGTGTCCTTCGCTTTTAAGGCATGACCAGCGTCTCCTTGTGTTAGGATGGGCTTATGTGAGTCACAGTTGGCACAGGCATACAAGTTCCTTGAGCTTTTAGTGCACTTCACTAGTGCATTGTGGAAATGAAAGGTAATCCTTGAAGAGCTTATCTGCACGGGGATTTTGGGGCAGGAGTAGAAACCTTTCATTTTTGTTTTGCTGTCATGCTGCCTGCTCTTTGTGCCTGGTTTCAGCTGTGACTGTTACGACAGGGAGCACTCTATCTTCTGTGACTGCTGTTTGTGAGTAGAAGCTTGCTGCTGGCACCAGCAAGCTTAGCTTTGAGCAGTAAGTATAGCACCAATTTTCTAGAAGTATGCCTGCAAATAGGAGAGTGTTTAACCCTTTTCACTAAGAGACTTTATGCTTTTGAGTGAAATACAGTAGCATTCTGACTGCAATCTTCACCTCTTAATTTAGAAAACTATGAAAAACTAGGAGACAAGACATTTGGGGGATGATTGAGGGAATAACCTTTTTTTTTGTGTTTTAGAAACACCATAACCCATGATTTCATCTGTCCCTTGGGATATCTGTGGTTATAATCTCTTTTGGCTTTGTCTGTTCTGTTTTTGTGTTGATGTAATTCTCTCCAAAGGCTGTGACCCTCCGTCTTAATGTTATTGATTTTCTGCCAGTTAAAGTAGGGAGCTGTCAGAAAAGTTGCTACATGATATTTGTACCATCTTACTTCTGTAGCATTACTACCCATGTGCGTTCAAATTGGTCCTCCTGGCTTTACTGCCACTGCTCAAGGTTTCTCACTTCTAGTGCAATCTTTAGAGCCAGAGAAGAGGAAGCCATACTTTTTTATTAGAAATTTATTTATTCGAGGAAAAATTATAATGATAACGCTCCTGTTCCTGTGAGTAGTGGGCACTGTGAAGCAGTGGTAGTCCTCTGGACTCTGAGGGAGGAGGTTAAGTGTGTCAAAGGTGTGTAGAAAAGGCATCTTCTGGACTCACTTCTAAAAACCATGCATAGAAATGTACTTACTGCTGCTGCTCTTAGAAGTCCTTTTCTGTTCTGCTTCTTATTCTGGTCTGTAATGAGTTTTCCTTTTCTACAAAAATACTAGGTTGTGCAAAATACAAAGCTGTTTGCAAATTTCCTGGATCGCTTTGGAGTTACATGAGAGGTGGACTTGGCGGAGGGTAAAGGGCAAAAACTGGGCTCTGTGCTACTTCATGATGCACAGAGTCAGCTAAAAAGGATTAAGAACATTCCTCTGGTGGTGGAAAAAGGGAGCAGTTTTCCTAAAGAACATTCAGATATTGCATGTCGTTTTTCCTGATTTTATTTGAGAAGTAATAGATCGCAAGGGTATGAAAAGTTGTGTTCAAACTTTTATAAAATATAACCTGCTTAGCAGAGTTTTCCTCTCTTCCTGACTGAATTTATCAGGTGCAGCACCTTGCTTAAGTATGAAGCCTTGGCCTCACTCTGTTTTGATTAGACAGAGAAACTAAAGCTACAGAGAAGAAAAACAACCTTAAAGTAAATGTTAGTATATATAATTAAAAACAAAGTAATTTGAAGTAGAAGTGTGGTAGGTCTGTGAAGTCCGTGAATAAAGTGGGATATGTCCACAATGTCCTGGAAGTATTTTTGTCTTGCTGATATCTGTGTCCTTTTTTCAGATAAATTCTCTTTTCTTAAACTTGCAGAAATCTTTCAGGTAGACATGCAGTTTCCAGGAAGGCATCAAGAGTTACCCTGCCTGTAGCAGCACTGTATAGATCAAATTACTATAGTTGTACACATGTATGCACCTTTATAATTGCTTTATACACACTTTTCCCCCTCATGAAGCTGTGCTGGCTGTGACCAGTGACTGCATTGTCCTCCAGGTGTTTTTCAACACTTTTTTGTGATTTTACTGGGCACTGAAGTGAGATTGACAGGCCTGTAGTTTCCAGGGTCCTCCTTATTGCTCTTCTTTAAAATTGGGACAACACTCACCAGCTTCCAGTTTGGCTGGGACCTCTCAGGATTCACAAGACCACCCAAAAATCATCAAGAGAGCTTTTGTGGTGACATCAGCAGCTCTTTGAGTATTCTGGGATGAATCCTATCAGGCCCCATAGATCTGAAAGGATTCAGCTTGAGCAGCAAATCCTGCACAATTTCAGGGTCAACTGGGAGGTGATCATTCTCACAGTCATGGTCCTCCAGCTCAGGGCACTGAGACCCCCTTGGTCTGTCATCTGTATTGAACACAGAGGCAAAGAAAGTGTTAAACACCTCTGCCTTGTCTCTGTCCCTGTTTGTGAGGTGACCATCCTCACCCTGTAACGGGCAGATGATATTTCTATCCCTCCAGCAGCAAGCAGCATCTCTGTATTCTTCCCATGTCACTTGACCTTGCTTCCACTGGGCATACACCTTCCTTTTCCTTGCTCAGTGTACACAATTTTTTCTTTCAAATGCTAGAATTCGTTCTTTGTTCAGTCACTTGACCAGAGATGCTCTTCCTGACTCTACTTTCCCTCTTTCTTTCCCTGGAGGAGGTGGGGCAGTGGTGACAGTCTGAAGGATTTTCTCTTATTACTTCTGACTTCTATGGTAGTAGAGTCAGTGCACTAAACCTCGCTGCAAAATCCCACCCATCAAGAGAGAAAGCACCTCTTGGGAAGCACTTGACCAACATTAGTATTCTTCAAAACATGAATTCATAATATAATTGTTAAGGAGGATTCAAGTAAGTGGTTTTCAAGAACCATAGTATCTCCTGGACAGGACAGCCCACTGGGCTGCTTGGTACTTGTTTTTAGTTATGCAGTATTTGTTTCTGAGAAAGTTCAGGGACATAGTCCCTGTTCCTAAAACTTTGAGGAATGCCAGGGCAGCAGGTAGCAGAACAAGTATGCAAGAAACCTAGGAATATTAAGTGTAGAACTCCTGTACAGTTGGGATTTATTTAAAATATTAAGTAAAAAGTGCCTCTATTTTGTTTGTCCAGTAGACATTTTCCAGCCAACTGTCCCTTTTTCCACCCCACCCTTCCTATGTCTGGTGAATATTAATAAGCAGCCAATTCAGCAAAGTAATGAAATTTCTGGGGCATCCTGCCTGCCTTAAAATCAAATGGCTTTGCTTTATTGCTTGGATAGGAACAGGTTTCTGAACAAACAGATGAACTTTGCTCTTTTACTTCCTTCTGGAAGCCAGTGTTCTGGGTTTTGTTTATTCCAAGACAGAAGCAACACCACTGAGGGGGGCAGAAAGGGGTTTCCAGTCTGCATTTAAAATCATAATGCCACCAAAACTCACAAACATGGACAACAGTAAGAGTCTTACAGCCACTGAGGTGGGACTGAGCTGCACAATTTTCACAGCGGCATACTGTCATAAGAACTTGGGAGAACATGGGAAAAGTTAATTATTTCAAACAAATGCCTTCATGATGGGAATTATTTTTATGGCTACTGATACTTGGTTCTCCCTAATCACTCTTATGAGTAGTTAACTACAATGTTTATTTACCTGAAATGCGTACGTAAACATGCAGACCCTTCGAGTTTGGGCCAAAACCAATGGGGCTGCACTAGAAACTATCAGAATTCTTACTTACCCCAATGTGTATAATTATCCTTTTTTCCTGAACTGTAGTCAGCAGGCTCCAAGGTTACAGTTTTCGTGTGTGCTCGGCTGTCTTTGGGGGTCAGCATGGTAGGATTTAATACATTGAAATGCTACATTTAACATTTTGTTCTTGTCTGTTGGAGGCAAGGTGCTGGATTAAGTGAGATACTGGCCAGATCTGGCACGGCAACTTCCATGGGCCTGGTTTATTTTATAGTTTCCCAGGCATTTGTGACACTCATAGTGTTGTGTTAACGTCTGTAATATGTTTTGAAATTCTCAAATGGAAAGTGCACATAGAAGTGCTATTTTATAACAAATCAATGTTTTCCTATCGTATTTTCAAAAGAGAGCATTTTGAATCACAGAATCATTTAGGTTGGAACAGACCTTAAATTGTCTAAGACTCAACTCCATCGAGTCCAACCATTAACCCAGCACTACCAAGTCCACCACTAAACCGTCTCCCCCACTGCCACATCTACATGTCTTTTAAATACCTCCAGGGATGATGACTCCACCATTTCCCTGGGCAGCCTGTTTCAGGGCTTGACAGCCCTTTCTGTGAAGACAGTTTTCCTGCTCTCCAATCTAAAACTCCCTTGGCACAACTTGAGGCCACCACCTCTTGTCCTATCACATGTTACTTGGGAGAAGAGACTGAGCCCCACCTGGCTACAACCTCCTTTCAGGTAGTTGTAGAGAGCAGTGAGGTTCCCCCTGAGCCTCTTTTTCTCCAGGCTAAACAACTCCAGCTCTGTCAGCCAGTACTCATGCAACTTGTGCTCTAGAGCCTTCACCAGCTTAACTGTCCTTCTCTGGACATGCTCCAGCCCTTCAATGTGTTTCTTGTAGTAAGGGACTCAGAACTGGACATGGGATTCAAGGTGTGACCTTCTTGGACACCTGAGTACACTGCTACATCATGTTTAGCTGACTATGGGTCAACATCGCCAGGTCTAGTCACTCGTCCCCCAGCCTGTAGCATTGCATGGAGTTGTTGTGATGGAAGTGTACAACCCAGCACTCCACCTTATTGATCCTCATACAATTGGCCTGTCCAGATCTCTCTGCAGAGCCTTCCTACCCTCCAGCAGATCAACACTCCTGCTTAACTTACTGTCATCTGCAAACTGACTGATGGTGTACTTGATCCTCTTGTCCAGACCATTGATGGAATAGGTTTGACCCCAATACTGAGCCCTGGGGAACACCACTAGTGACT